AATTTCCTAAAAAAAAAATCGATAAAATCGGACAATTAGGGGCAAAGATATGGTCTCCGGTTTTTTTAAATATGTTCTGCTCCAAATGTTATATCCTTTGTTTTGTTTCAAAATTTTGAATATGTTACTGATGTAATACTATTTTTTTTTTAGCATATTACCGATGATATAAAATTTACCAATTAAAAAAAAAGTTTAGTCCAATAATTGGAATCACCTATTTGATTTTTTTTTCTTTGTAACTATGAAGGTAATGTTACTTTATATGTATAATTGTCTGGAAATAATAAACCATTGTGGAATAATTTGCAGCGTTTTTTTTGTTGATACAGCTTCGTGTACCTAGTCTTCGTTAATACCTCATAAAAAACATGGAAAAACATGGAACATACTGCAGCAAGTGTGATTGTATATGATTTAGGATTTTTCTAATTCTACCTTAGCTTGCTCTGTTTTTAAGAAGAGGTGAACAATAAAATATCTTGGGAGGATGAGGAGGGGAAGGGGTATGTTTTTGTGCTATCGGCTTTAGGATGGGAAAGGAAGGAATGGGCACCCCTGTTTACATTATTACTGTAAAATATATTACTCTAAAAAAAAAAATAAAGAATCTAAAATTGTGCATATCAAATCAAATATGTTTTAAAAATTAAGAAATAAATTCTTTAATTGTACCACATATTTTTGAAAATCTTTGATTATTTTAATAGAAATTAAAAGGGCCATTTTTTGAACGAATTAAACTAAAAGATTCGTTTTGAAACAATAATAAAGCAACCTTCCAAATTTGATAATTTATTTTGTTTGTTTTTTAAATATTTAATTTTTTTTTAACTTTATTTCTTTACCCAAACCTGTCAGAAGTACTGACAATTAGTCTGCTGTCGGGAAAAATACTGATAGTGGCTTGATCGGTGTGGGGGAAAGGAGTGCCCAACGTTATCCCTTCTTTACTTGATTTTAGTATATTAATTTTTTTTTTAACATATTTATTGAGAGATATTACAATCTGTCACAATCAATGACATTTATAATAGTATTTAAACAGCACATTCACAATAAATAAAAATAAATAATACAGAAAATAATAATACTACAAGTAAATGTATATAAACTAAAAAAAAAAAAAGAAACTAAGGTAATGAAAATAATTATTCAAATACATACATGCTTCATATTTCTAAGTGAGGAAATCCTTCATCCAGCTTCTTTTGAGCCTTGTGAAATTTTTTGTTGTGTGTTCGTATATTTTCGTTAACTGTTGGCATGCCTAGATCATTATGCAAAGTAATTTTTGTGACGTACCATGGAGCTTTAGTAATATTCCTAAAAGATTTTGACAAAAAGATTTGTAGTTTTCGTATGTAGGTCGTTTTGGCTGTTCCGTGTATTTGTGAAGCGTAGGTCCATATGGGCTTTAGTAGATAAATGTAAGTGTTCACTTTCTGTTATAATTTTAATTTAGATCGTCTTGAAAGAATGAGTGTATAATTGTGAGTATAATTGCGATAGTCTGGGGTTTACCGTTTTTCTTTTTTTTTTTTTTTGTGTTGATATGTGGGCCCCATGTCATTCTTTATCTCTTTACGGAATTTCGTCAGTGTCAAGGAAGTAGTAATGTTTCACGTCGAAGAGTTAAAGTAATGTGTTGTGATTTTAAATATATATAAAGAAAACCTGTTTGTACTTTAGAATGAAAACAGAAATATAGTTTTATATTTTTAATTTTCAAAAGAAAAGACACTTACAAAGAATTTAACTGTTTTTTTTTTTTTTTTACAACCCACGTAAATTTATTTTTTTTTTTTTTGATATTGGTTCGTAGTATAAGTAGTTGATTTAAATTCCTCCCCTCAACAAACGTAAGAATAAATTCAATGTATTCGATATGAATTTTAATATTCTCTATTATTTAAGTTTTTAAAAATTTATCTTGTTAAATTAATTAGAAGTAACAATATTAGTTAGTTTTAAGTTAAATTTAGTGACTATTTGCAGTTGCATCATCATATCAGTTTGCAGCAATCGCAAATTTTTTATCTTGGAATTATTTAATCCAGTTGTGTGTAAATGATTAATTGAACTATTTTTATAAATAAGGTATCAATTTCTTACTTTGAGTAGCTCTGAATTGTTTTCAATTAAAATTTAAAATATCAGCCTTGAATATTTTTTCTTATATCAATATTCAGCTCCTTAATTAAAAAAAAAAAGAAAAAACTAATTGAATACTAAATAAATCGTGATAAACTTTTTTTCTCAAACGTAATGTTTAATTATTTATTAATTCTATACAATTCTATTGAAGTTATGTAATGTAATCCTGGCATTGCATTTCTCCTTCAAAAATTGTTCCCACATCACAAAGGAACAGAAAGTTGATTTCATTACTGAACTAAATAACAAAACGTTTCGGTTTTTATTAAAGAGCTGTTTCTAAAATTAAAAAAAGTGTCGGATTATCGGTACAACTTATCAACAATGTACATGATATCCCGTAAGCATAGGGACATTTTTATAGGAATGATAGCTGATCAAAAGAGCTACAAAAAAGTTTATATAAATAATCGGTCGATATTCAGCAGAAAAGTAGAAAATCCAATTTTTTTTAATGTAAGTCATGCTTTTTGTTGAATAGGCAGAAGGATTTCCTCACTTAGAAATATGAAGCATGTATGTATTTGAATAATTATTTTCATTACCTTAGTTTCTTTTTTTTTTTAGTTTATATACATTTACTTGTAGTATTATTATTTTCTGTATTATTTATTTTTATTTATTGTGAATGTGCTGTTTAAATACTATTATAAATGTCATTGATTGTGACAGATTGTAATATCTCTCAATAAATATGTTTAAAAAAAAATTAATATACTAAAATCAAGTAAAGAAGGGATACCGTTGGGCACTCCTTTCCCCCACACCGATCAAGCCACTATCAGTATTTTTCCCGACAGCAGACTAATTGTCAGTACTTCTGACAGGTTTGGGTAAAGAAATAAAGTTTCAAAAAAAATTAAATATTTAAAAAACAAACAAAATAAATTATCAAATTTGGAAGGTTGCTTTATTATTGTTTCAAAACGAACCTTTTAGTTTAATTCGCTCAAAAAGTGGCCCTTTTAATTTCTATTAAAATAATCAAAGATTTTCGAAAATATGTGGTACAATTAAAGAATTTATTTCTTAATTTTTAAAAAATATTTGATTTGATATACACGATTTTAGGTTCTTTATTAATTTTTTTTCAGAGTAATATCTGTTACAGTAACAATGTAAACATGGGTGCCCATTCCTTCCTTTCCCATCCTAAAGTCAATAGCGCAAAAACATGCCTCCCCCACCCTCATCCTCCCAAGATATTTTATTGTTCACCTCTTCTTAAAAACAGAGCAAGCTAAGGTAGAATTAGAAAAATCGTAGATCATATACAATCACACTTGCTGCAGTATTTTCCACATTTTTTCCCTTCTGTCATAGTCTGAAAATAAATAAACCCGTCGAAATTTGTTCCCCCTCTCTAAAATTAAAAAAAAAAATTGGTCAAATTATTTTATCCCTCCCAGTCCATCAATAAATTTATATCTGGATCTAGTGTCAGTAGTACGCACATGTTAATATAGTGGGTTGTGATTCTTAATTTCGAATATCATTAAAATCTAAATATTTTATTTGATCCTTTAGATCATTTCTTTTATCATTTTTTTTTTTAAAGAAGAAAATAGTAGTAAATAGTTTTTGAAGTTATCGGACGTTGCTTAAAATTTTTAAAAAGATAATGTGAGTTGTACACACTAGCTGATCCAGGATTTAATTTTTGGGGGGGAGGGGGCTTCAGCCCGAAAAATTTTTTTTTCATATACATAACGATAATTAATTTGAAAAATAAAAAGAAAGATACTAACTACCCATATGACATGGTGTCTTAGTTATTCTTGAAGTCCTATTAAATGTAATCAGCCCGTCGAAATTTTTACCCCTCTCTAAAATAAAAAAAAAAAAAATAGGTCAAATTATACCCCTCCCCCCCCCCAAAAAAAAAAAAAAAATTAAAACTGGATATACTGTCAGTAGTACGCACATTTTAATATAGTGGGTTGTGATTCTTAATTTCGAATATTATTAAAATCTGAATATTTTATTTGATCCTTTAGATCATATCTTTTATCATTTTTTTAAATAGTTTTTGAAGTTATCGGACGTTGCTTAAAATGTTAAAAAACAGAATATGAGATATCTACGTGGAGGGGGGGACTTTCGAGCAATTTACAATAGTAAATTGTAACTATGTTTTATGGAAAAAAAAATTATCTCATGAAGTATTTTTGTTCGTGTAATTACATTTAATAGGACTTCAAGAATCACTTAAACTCCATTTCATATAAGTAGTTAGTATTTTTCTTTTTCTTTTTTTTTTTCAAAGTAGTTATTGTTACACATATGAAAAAAAAAGTTTTCGGGCCCAAGGGCTGGATCCGCTATTATTTGCACAAGAACAATAATCAACAAAATTTGAACAGACGAAATAATACACAAATATAAAAAAAGGATAGAAGACATTGCCAATTTAAAATCATGATCTGTTGAGTGGAATGGATAACTTGAAGGCGAAAAACACGACCTTGGGCATGACATTGCAATCGTATAATTGTAATAATACGAACCGGAATCCAGCTCATCATTTACAACATTCGAACACGTCAAAGATACTTCAAAAAAGAATATTCAACTGTAATAGATACCATATTAACAAACAAAATAAAACTGATAACAGAGAACATCGATAAAAATTGATTGAACGTCTACTTATAAACAAGTAGTGTGTATGGAATAATGGTTATATAAAACTTTAAAATATTTTGTAATATTTGGAAATATTATTAATTAAATAAAAATATTATATTTTTTTTAGGAAATTAAGTTTAATGAAGTAATAATTAATAAGCTGAGATGAAGAATGAACAAGATCGGGTCAATACAAAGAGAGAAGCCTTGTGGCAATGCCGTGCCAGGGCCATTATAATCGCCTCGCCGCTGTGCCGTTGGCAGACCTGTCGCTGACGTCATATCTAGGTCATATGTTGAGAGGTTCAAGATAACCTCCTCGCCAGTCTAGTTCAAGACTTACCTTTCGGATAGGAATACGCGCACTTAACTCTACTTGTGTCCCGAGTATTAGTTTTAGTGATGTTCATAGTGTCGTATTACTAACTTATAATATACCTCATTCGTGACTGTTTTAATAAAATAGTGATAACATCTTTATTTCACTTCATCTCAGCATGTTCTAAGTTTTCATTCTAGTGTCTCGTTAAAGTGCCATAATTTATTACTTCTTCCTTAATAATAATACTTTATTAAAAGTTCTCATTTTATATTTATAAAGTGAATATTGAAACGTTGACTGACCTCCTTCTGAAAAAATCATCGCTACGCAAACTGCAAATCCAGTGATTGAATATATGTTTTCTACTGTGGACGCAGGAAAAATCAGCTGGTAGATTTCCTTAGGACCATACCCCTCAGATTTTAATTGTGCCAGTTTTTCCGCATTAACACTGGAGGAGGCTGTACTTACTGCATATCTAAATCAAAAAGATATCCAAAAATTAAATTATATTTCTTATTCTGATATGTTAGACACTTTAGGAATTTACTAAAGTGTTAGAAAAGGATCATTCCAGTACACATTATTGTATCTATATTGAGTCCTCTTTAGACATTCCTTGCCTTTTCAGTATTCAAAATGCTGATAAAAGAATATAGAGTCATTCTCCCTCTCACAGTAGAAGAGTATCAAGTAGCACAGCTATTCTCTGTAGCAGAAGCAAGTAAAAATGAAACTGGCGGAGGCGAAGGTATAGAAGTATTGAAAAATGAACCGTTCGACAATTATCCTTTACTAGGTGGGAAATATAGTAAAGGTCAGTACACATACAAGATTTACCATTTGGCTAGCAAAGTTCCAACATTCATTCGACTCTTAGTTCCGAAAGGAGCTTTAGAAATTCATGAAGAAGCATGGAATGCCTATCCATATTGTCGTACTATTATTACAAATCCTGGCTATATGAAGGAAAACTTTAGTATCTTGATCGAATCTTACCATATTGCTGACAGGGGAAATCAAGAAAATGTCCATGAACTCTCAGCAGAAAAACTTAAGAAACGTGAAATAGTTACGATTGACATTGGGAATGATCCTATAAATCAGGCTGATTATAAACCGGATGAAGATCCATCAAAGTTTTCATCTCAAAAAACTGGTCGTGGACCACTGCAATCCAACTGGATCGAATCGGTTCAACCAGTAATGACCTGCTATAAGCTTGTAACTGTAGAATTCAAATGGTTTGGACTTCAATCGCGAGTTGAAAATTTTATTCAACGCTCTGAACGAAGGTTGTTTACGACTTTCCACAGACAACTATTTTGTTGGATGGATCGTTGGCATGGATTGACGATGGAAGACATCCGCAGTATTGAAGAAAAGACAAAAGAAGAACTGGATAAACAGCGAAATGTTGGCGAAGTAAGAGGAATGAAAGCAGATGGTGATTAAATTTATTTTTTTCTTTAGTTTACAATGCTTCCAGTTCCAATGTCTTTGTATATGTCTTTTTCTTTTAATGGAAGGTTTTTCAATGAAAACGTTTGTAACTTAGAACTTACCAAAATTTTATTTCTATTTATTATAGAAATATTAGGTTAATCTGTGCACCCTATATTGTATAGGTATCTTATTTTAGTTGTTGATGGTTTACTTAAAAGGGGGGGGGAAATTATTTGTCAGTGAACTGTCACGTATAATTTCATATTTTTGTTTCAATTTAAAACCTTCAAAAGAAAAAAAAAAAAAAAGAGATATTTCACTAATGTAATTCATAAGGTGTGAAAAGGGTTTTACCTACTTTTTACTAGTTCCATAGGTGCAAATTTCAGCTTAGCAATTAACATTAAGAAAATAAAATTTAATGCCTAACAGGAAACAGACATATGTGTTCCTATAAGTATTCAGTATTCATGTTAAAATATGATGTGAAATTATCAAGTAAGCTCTGTATTTAGTTCAGTATTATTTGAACGTCTGAACGGACCAGGGGTCATAATAGGTGAAGAGCCTCTTCTATTTATTACTGATACGGTTTATAATTCTTTTATATTACAGTCATTTGAAAGGTTATTAGATTGTTATAATATGGACATTAATACACCATTATTTATTTTAATTTTTTTGTCTTAATTTTAATTATTGTTTATCTGACAGCATTAACGTATTTCGAATTTTTCAGTTTTATATTCTGTGACAGAGATGAGTTTATAGTTACCAGACCATTGTATTTATAAAAATATTTTGTAAATTTTGAGAAATGTATGGTATGGGTAGCACCTATTTATCAATTCCTTTCTTTTGCGGAATAGTTTCTTTTTGGGTAGCATATTATTCCTTTATTTTCATATGTGTTTACGAATAGTCATTAGGGGATTTTGGTTTAAGACTTTATAAGGTGTAATTATTTTTTAATTGGTTAAAATAGTTAATTACCCAATGGAATACATCATTAATGTTGGTTGTAAATCTTATTAAATGCTAAGCAGTAGTTAAAGTTAATATATATATAATTGAAATTGTATATTTATAAAATCTTATCAGATATTTTATTTTAAATAGTAAAAATTGTAATGTTTGAATAAAAATAGTTGTAATGTGTAATACTTAAAATTTCATTAGACCTAATAAATAACTTAAATGTATCATAAAAGAGGATGTATACTATTCTGAAGAAAAAAAAAAAAAAAAAAAAAATTGTCTAGAAATATAAAAATTACTCTAGAGAAATTCTAAATTTAAGCATCTAATATTAAATAAACTTCTTCTAATTCTTACAATAGCTCTATAAAATTTATACTTTCTCTAAATGTTATCGTAATATTTATTAAGTATACAATGATTAGTAGGAATGTATTATTTTATAATTGAGTAGTTGATGTTACTTTTTTATTTTAAAATCGAAAATGTACATCAAGAAGTCATAAAAGTAGTATTTTTATTTATAATATTTCTCCTGATCGGCCTAATTTACGTTTGTTAAATTAAAGATAGTGGGTCAAGCAAAAAGTTCCATTTTCACAGTGTATTTTTATATATTTCATAGACAATTTCTTTTTTTTTTTTTTTTTTTTGTTATATAAATTTTTTGTTTCAGTATGTTTCTAATTTCTTTAGAATAAAGTAAAATTTTTTAACCATTCGTAATTGACTTGGTGTTTTAATTGATTTATTTGGTTCGAGTTTCAATATTCGATGTGGGCAGTATAAATTAATCGTAACAAAAGCAAAAATAGTAAGAGATAACTGTGAATTAAATTATTTACCTCAACATTTTAAAGACAATAACAATTTTCAGTCAGACAATCTGTTACTGTTTTAAAACTTGGAGAGAATTATTTTATTTGGGAATTTTTATCATGAGACAAATATTCGGCTATTTGGTTTAATCAAAGCTATTATTAATTTATTGTATACAAACTACTATTAATTTATTTTAAAATTAGCTTGTATAAACCTGTTAAAATTTATATAAATTACATGGTATTGTTTGTGATTTTTTTTTTTGTAAATTCAATATGAATCATATTGATTTTAGGTTCCTTTACACTGTGATGGTAACTTATTTTATTTTATTTAGTTAAGACAAGATTAATAATATTTTTTAATTTGAGAAAAAAAAATTTATTCAAATGAGAGAATACACGCCTTGAAAAGTGTGAGTTATATCTAAGTATAATATAGTAAATGTTTCAAATAAATCTTTAGTGAAATAATCATTTAGTGTTGATCAAATGTTCATATTGTACTTTAAAATGGTATTGTGAAATCGTTTTGTAAAAAAATTTAATAGTTATACAATTAAAACTTTTTCTCTTATATGTATGTTGTAGAAGATTGATGTCGTTAAATGATCAGAAGAAACTTTTACATCTTCCCAAAAAATATTCTCATCAAGCAATAATGTATCTTCAATGTTTAATCTACAATAACGTGTACAGTAATATAATGGAATCGTAAAGCTAATTAATGGCAATTTAAATTAAATTGTTTCATTCAAGGAAATATAATTAATGTTGGATTTTTTTTCTGTTTCATTTTCTGTAGTATTCATAATAATTATTTGATTTTACATTATAATTAGACTTTCGTAAGGTTTATTTTATTTATAAACAAAGTTTTAAGTTCAATAGGTGTGCAGGAAAAACATACTAATATCCTTTTTTTTTGTCGTTATTTTATTGATATTGATAATAATCAGAAATATCCATGACAATTTTTTTCCTTTTTGAAATTTTTTAGGTATTCATTAACATGTTAAGAAGCATTTTAAACTTATAGATCTCTTTGGAATTTATACAAATTTTATTGTATAGTTGCCCTATTAGATAATATATATATTTTTTTTTAATTGTACGAAATTACAAATGTATAAATGTCCTTTTAGTTTTCTATCAGCCAAATTAATTATAAAATTGTGGTGTTGCTATTTATGTTCTGAGATTTAGTGAAAAATTTTGGTCTAGAAACTAATTGTTGTAGGCTTCAATAAAATTCAACTGTTTGAAATGTTGTTTTCCTGTATTTTTACTTTTTTCATAAATACCTATTCTTATAAAACATATCTCTTTATTATGTAGAAAAGTATTTAGTGACCATGTCATATTTTATTTTACATATACAAAGCGGGACAGACGGTAACAAAGACACTAGTCAGACGGAATGTAACGAAGATATCACACTTCTTATTCCCAGCATTATTTCTCCTATATTATGGTTACAAATTGGCAGTAACATTAATAATTATTATGTAATAATTTAAATTGGCAATAAGGCACGATGTATAATATAGATTTTTAAAGAAACTAAAAATTTGTCTGAACTGTGGTTCTATTGCATTTATTTTATGTTGATAAAAAATATTTTCTGAACTACAGAGCACATGTAAATTATAGTTATACAACTTAAACAACGAGTAAATTTAAATATTTCAATTACAGTTTAATTTTTATTTTCATAAAATCAAATTATTAAAATTTTTTCTCAAAAATTTTCTTTTAATGTTTATCTATCAAACATTAAGTAATTTTTATGATCTGATTTTCTAAAATTGAAAAAAACATTACTGACTTTCTTACAATATTTAATTTTTATACTAGAAGACATTGTTGCATTGCATGCCTTATAAACTATCAATAGTCGATTTACAATATTGAAAAAAAAAATTACTTTGAGTCAAAATAAATTTTTGTAAATGATATATTAATCCTCGTTCAACACAGTTACCATGATGTCCAATTGTTTATCATTTATGAACTGTCGCATCTGCAGGCATGATGTAAACAGTATGACATTAGCTCTCTAGGCAGTACTGTCGCACTATCAGATATTGTGTGTAGTTGAAGTGGTGAGTGGTATTGTTGGACAAACTGAAGCTTTAGTAAATCATCTTATTTATCGAAAATAGTTTTATTGGTGATTCTCGAAAAAAGCTCAATAACACTTTAACCCGAGGATTATTCTAATTAGATGGGTTCTATGAATATATATATACATACATAGTGTCCAGTAAATAGAGGGAAATTTTTATTGGAATAATAGCTTACCTCAAAGCCTACAAAAAAGTTCAAAAGCTAATATGACTACAATTAACTGTTGCAAAGCTTGTATTTATGTAATTTTTTTTCATGGTCTGGGATTTATTTCAATAAATATAATTGCCTAATTAAACTTTTTATTTATAAATAAAAAAAAAATATAAAAATAACTATTTTTTAAATATATTTCATGTAAAGTATTTACAAAACTGTGTTTTTTTTTTCCAGATCTCTTTCATAGGAACTAATCCTTATTTATAAGTGACAAATTTAATGTTTCTTGTCCTAAAATTTACTTTTAAAACAAAAGAACCCTGCTGATTTCTTCAGCTATTTTCAAAAAAATGTAAATAGAAACTTCGGTTTCGGCTTTCGGGCTGAAGCCCCCCCCCCTCCCCCCAAATGGTAAAATGTAAAAATGTAACCATGTTTTACAGACAAAAATATTAAAAACTATCTCTTGAAGTATTCTTGTTCATGTAATTATATTTAATAGGACTTCAAGAACCACTTAAACACCATTTCATATAGGTAATTAATTTCTTTATTTTTTTTTCAAATTAATTATCGTTATAGGTATATGAAAAAAGATCTGTCGAGCTAAAGCCCCCTCCCCCAAAAAAATTAAATCCTGGATCCGCTAGTGGGAGCAACACAGTTCTCCAACAGTTATTGTTCAACTTTTATTGTGAAAAGGCACTACTCGAATGCGTATGTTTATTAGTCTCATTACTGCACTGTTATTCTTTTGCAATTTTAATTTTTTTTTTCAATTTTAATATAACAACGAAATGTACGGTGATGAAAAATTGTAAAATACGACATTTCACTATAGAAATTTTAAAACATATTTTTTTTTTAGCTTTGACTGAGGGGCTCTACCTTCTTGATCTAAATTGTGTAAGTCAGAGTAAA